ACCTATCATGTCAAAGTGTACTTACATGTACTTAAGCAGTATTGTTGTAACTTCAAACAGTTGCTAAATAAATGGTTGTAAATCAAAGACTACCTGTATATACAGTGTGGTTGTAGTGTTGGTTTAGCTAACACAGAAAGGAGCACGACGGCTCAAGTGGTTGGAACCCTGGGCAGGAGGTTAGCAAGCCCACATTTGAAACCCGAGAGCTGCTATGGGGCAGCTCTCTCAACTCTTCAGTTCCTGTTGAGGGCATCAAAGGAGCCCCAACTAGGCATTCCCAGGACAACGGTGATCCTTTCAAATCGGAAGAGTCTCTGTGCTTCTGACATGAGTACAAAAGCTAACACAAAGTGTAGACAAACACAAGCGTCAGATTGAGAAGCATAAAGGATCTAGTCAAAGAAATCAGAGATATTCTATGAAGCTCTAACCTCATCCATATCATAAGAAACAGGCATAGAAAGGAGTTAATGATGGAATATAATGTTTAAAAAATGGAATGAATACATGGAAATTAGGCAAGAAGACTACTAGGTGATATATTTGAGAGAGAATGCATGCATCGTTACAATGTCTGGATCAGGGGTAGGCAACCTTGGCTCTTTTATGACTTATGGGCTTCATCTCCTAGAATTCCTAAGCCAGCCATGCTGGGAATTCTGGGACTTGAAATCCACAAGTCATAAAAGAGCCAAGGTTGCCTACCCCTGATCTACTCCTGGTCTAGACCTGGTCCAATCTTTTGGCTTGCCTGGGCCACACTGAGTAAAGAGGTCTTGAGCTACATGTAAAATATATATTTGTTTATTTATGTATTTATTTAATTTATATGGTTGCCCACCTCAGTCAATGACTCTGGATGGCTTACAATTCAAGTTGTAATATAGTTAATGTACATAAATCACATAATAATGTTCAAAGCTTATGATCTTGTGGGGCCACATTACTAGTTGTCCAGGGCTGCCATGTGGTCTGTAGGCCACAGGTTGGATACACCTGATCTAGATGAAAGTTGTACCCTTTGTGGAAATCAACTACTTTGAGTTATGGTGATGGAAAAGGCTATTTCACATTCCTTGGGCAGCCATAAGAAATTGTGGGTGCTCCATCACTGGAGATTTTTAAGAAAAGACTAGACAGGTGGTGTAGGTCAGTGATGGTGAATGTTTTAGAGACCAAGTGCCCAATCTGCAGCCTAAAACCCACTTATGTATCGTCGGGTGCCGGGTGGGCATGGCCAATTGGATGGGTGTGGCCAATTGGGTGGGTGTGGCCAATTGGGTAGGCATGGCCCATTGGGTGGGTGTGGCTGCAGTGGTAACGGCAGACTGGGTGGGACTAAAAAGTTTGATCAATCAATTCCAACTTTGCGAGATCTTTTTTTTCCTGCGAGAAGTTGAAATTGATTGATTGATTGAACCTTTTTTTTTTTTTTTTTTGCAGATGGCAGTGGAAGTTTTATAAAATCCAGCTGAAGGCCTGGGACTGGGGTGACGGCATGCGTGCCCACAGAGAGGGCTCACCATGCCACCTGTAGCACACGTGCCATAGGTTCACCACCACGGGTATAGATTCTCCTGTTGAGCAGGAGGCTGGACTAGAAGACCCCCAGGGTCCCTTCCAGCTCTATTCTATTCAAGAATCAATTCTTCAGTGCTAGAGTAAATCAAGCCAGAATGCTCCCTGGTAGCATAGAATCATAGGGCTGGAAGGCCCATTAGTGGTCTTCTAGTCCAATCCCCTGCCAAGGCAGAAGTCCTTATTCCATCCCAGAGAAATGGGTGTCCAATCTTTCCTCCAGCGATAGAGCACCCACGGTGCATGAATCATGAAACAAAGGATATCATATTTGGGGCACATGAGGTGGGCTCCTGTTTCTATAGAAAAGGTAATCAAATTGGGGAAGATGGATAGAAGGAGAAGAGACCAATAGTGTATAAGAAAAACAGAGTTACAGAAATGTACCTGCAAAAATTGCTTAGTATGGTGAGAGACAGGACAACCTGGAGAACTTTTATCCATAGAATCAGCAGGAGCTGGCTATGACTCAGTGGAGCATAATAACAACAGATGCCAGCAATGAATTTTCTTTGTTATTAGTTCTTGTTGAAATGCAAAAAGACAAGTTTAAAAGGAATTTTATACACAGAATGTTCTGATTCATCAGTGGCCAAATTGAAGCTTCCCCCCCCCCAAAATTAGGGTGCTGTGACACTATGACTCTTATTCTGTATTATAGCTCCCTCTTTTGGTAAGAAAAAAAACTCCCATGTATTGTGTGTTTTGTATTTATTTTTTTTCCAGAAGTGGTACTTATTTTGTTGCTAAAAACTGACACTGACTTGATGGTATGTTCTATCTATCAATCTATATAAAATGTGCTTGTGTCTGTAGGGATCCACAAAGAGCGATACAATAAATTTTCTTCTTCCACTATTTCCAAAAGAAAAATTCAGCTGCAATTTTCTTTTTCCCAGTAAGAGAGGGGATTTAATACTAAAAAAGTATCTTGACTTACAGGTAGTCCTTGATTCACAATCATTAGTTTAGTGACTGTTTGAAATTATAACAGCAATGAGAAAAATGACTTATGACTTTTTTTCCCTTACTTACCACCAATGCAGCATCCCTGTGGTCACATGATCAAAATTCAGATGCTTGGCAACTGGTTCATATTTATGATACTAGCAGTGTCCTGGGGTCATGTGATCCCCTTTTGTAATCTTCTGACAAGCAAACTCAATGGGGAAGCCAGATTCACTTAACAACCGTGTTACTAACGTAAAACTGCAGTGACTTACTTAATAACGGTGCAAGAAAGGTTGTAAAATGGGGCAAAACTCACTTAACCAATGTCTCGCCTAGCAATAGAAATTTTGGGCTCAATTGTGGTTGTTAAATCAAGGGCTACCTGTATAGTTTTCTCTACTTACATTCTCCCCCCCAAATCACTGCAGCTTTTTGTTCTGCACACTAAGGTGAAAAAAAGAGAGACCTAGAATATCTCATTTAAATATGAATAGGAAAATAGGTTAGAAGGGACATCTCAGACTGCATCACACATTCCCTCCCCTGGGCCCACATCTTTGCAATGATTTCTCAGGCATTTGAATATCATGAGTCTGGGTTCCATAATATACTTTACCAGATAAGGTCAAAACTTTGCAGTTGCACTTTTTAAAATTCTACTCTATATACTAAATTAATTTATGTGGCTGCCCAACTTACAAATATGACTCTGGGCAATTAACAATGTAGTAGAACAGTAGAAAAAAATGCAATATCAGCAAAAAAAAAAAAAGGGTACAGTAGTCAGCAAGAACAAACCAAATGCACACTCAACAGTACCAATAGCATCCTCACAGCCATCTAACTTTAATGTCAATTTAATGCTTGTGGTTTGAATAGACAGATGTATGTATTCAGGTTATATTGATGTTTTTAACTGATGGTTAGGAACCACCTAGAGATTGATACAAGACGGCCAATTATATAAATGTGTTGATAAATAAGTATCTTCAAACTCTGATGCCCCTGGTTATAGAACACCATGGTTTGTTTTGTTTTTTTCTTTCTGTGGCCTAACATGTTGGACAGTTGCTGCCTGTTTGTTTGATGAGTTAGTGCAATGTGTCTGCATAGAAAATGGGTTAATTTAAGAGTGGGACATAACTGGCCTATTGTCTGTGACACTGTTGGTTTTTGCTTTTCTGGTGTTGGGAATTCTCCATTAAAATTTGAAGACGAGCAACAGAGTTTTTCCTGTTGGAGAATTCTGGAATTCCCAGTGGCACAAAATTCCCATCTGTGGTATTTTCCAGCCACAATGAGAGTTCAGCTCCTAGAATTCGCAGGCAGTTTGAGGGCTTGTAGTTTTTGCAGAGACTGGAGACTGGAGAGCAGCAGACTGGAGAAATACCTATTCCAGTTGATCATGCTTGTGATTTGCCCAGAGATCTACTCCATCTTTAAGATATATGGACCAACTCCGAGAATCCTCCTGCCAGCATGCTAGGTAGGGATTTCTGGGAATTGGAATCCTTGTACTTTAAACTTCGATTCTAAGGTTGAGAATCACTGGCATAAAGGGGGAACTGTCTAATACAAGAAATGTTCTGCTTTTTCCGTCTCCTTTGAATTCTGATTGAGGATCAGATATAAGATAGAAACGGTGCCTGAGAAAATATAGAAAAACAATACATGCTGTAAGAAGAAGAATTTTTTTCCCCCAAACTTAGAAGTTTGGATTCAGCTCAGTATTATTTGTGTTTCCACTTCTTAAGAAACAAGAGAGGGAAAATGGTACTTACCAACATACTCTACTTGTAGACAAAAGGAGGTCCTTGAAATCTATACATTCATGCTCGTACATACATATATGACTTATTCATGGCCTAGGAGGGGAAAGGATTTTTAAAAAGGATTAAAAAAAATACTCTAGAAAAACGAAGGATAATCCCACTCACCGCCAAGGATCTCTAGTTCTTTACAGATAATCCTCAATTTACAACTATTTGTATAGTGATTATTCAAAGTTACAGCAGCATTGAAAAAAAAATGATTTATGACCATTTTTCACACCTACAATCATGGTTATGTGAACAAAATTTGAACCTTTGGCAACTGGTTCATATTTATGATGTTTGCAGTGTCCTGGTGTCATATGAGCACTTTTTGTGACCTTCTAACAAGCAAAGTCAATGGGGAAGCCAAATTCACTTAACAATTGTGTTACTAACTTAACAGCTGCAGTGATTCACAACCACTGTGGCAAGAAAGGATGTAAAATGGAGCAAAATTCAAAATTAACAATTGTCTTGCTTAGCAATGGAAATCTGGGGCTCAGTTGTGTTTGTAGGTCAAGGACTAACTGTGTTTGAAAGAGCCAGGCTGTTGTAGTCCTCCTAAGAACAATGTCCAGGTTTTCTTCTTGACTTAGCATCAATGTTCAAAGAAAATCAATTCACCAGGAAAATAATTCAACCTTCTCTTTTTAGAAATTCGGGAAGCTTTCCGAGTCCTGGACCGGGATGGCAACGGCTTCATTTCCAAGCAGGAACTGGGAATGGCCATGCGCTCTCTGGGATACATGCCTAGCGAGGTGGAACTGGCAATTATTATGCAGCGGTTAGACATGGATGGTGAGTCTTTCAGTTCTTCTCATAGTTTTTGCTGTAGGACAGTGTTTCCCAAACTTGACAATTTTAAGGCATGTGGACTTCAACTCCCAGAATTCCACAGCCAGCACTGCTGTAGGAGAATGTGCTGGTTGCCAGCTGACTTCCAGGTGCAATTTGAGATGGCTATTTAGCCCTTTCATGGCACAGAGCCAGGTTATTTACAGGACTGTTTGCAATAAACTCTGCTTATCCAGTAAGATCTGACAAGCTCCAGACCCTGTCACTCAAGCAGTATGACCTGGTGGGACCCAGGAGATGTGCTTTCTCTATCACTGGAAGCATTTCCCCAAGACCCAGATGGCCCTGACTCCCCCTGTCTCTCTTTCTAAACCTTTCATGACTTCCCTTTCCTCCTCAGTCCTTGAGTCAGAAGGATTTGTGGTTCCATCCAAAGTGATTATTGACCTATTGAATCGCTTTGGTGGAGTCTCTTCTACATGTTTTATTATATTTCATTTCTAGTTCAATCTTGTATTTATTTTAATTTATTTTAATAATAAGATGCCCAGAATCATTTGGGAAAGACAAGTATAGTGTCAACGCTGCAAATATTGTATATTCTTGCTTTTGACAATATACAGAACTGTCTGGTATTTTTTGGGGTTAATACAGAGCAGAAGGGGGATGGGGGTAAAGCCTGGGAAAGAAAGAGGAAGAAAACTTTTGACCTTCACACTAATTGGATAATGTGATATATGACGGCTAATTTAGGGAGGGAACATGCTGATAATTTAACTGCTCAGAGGAAGAGAACTTAGATCCTAGCATGTTGTTATGGTTCCGGCTAATGAAACACTTCAAAGAACTTCCAGCATCCCTCCATTGTGCCTGTGCCGACATTTTGTAACAATAAAAGACTTTTAGGAAAATAAATGCCTGGAAGTTCTTTGAAGTGTTTCATTAGCCGGAACCATAACATATAGTAAATTGACTATCCAGGTAAATCAGCAAGCAAACCTCAAAGCCATTTTTAGACATTGAAAGGATGGGTTGCCAATATTTTGTTTGGGGGTGTATCTATATAAGGGAGAGTGGTGGCTCAGCAGTTAAAGATGTTGAGCTTATCAGCTGGAAAGCTGACAACCTGGGTTCAAGACCCGAACAGTGCATGACAATGTGAGCTCCCATTACTTGCCCCAGCTCCTACTCACCTAGTAGTTCAAAAGCATGAAAATGTGAGTGGATAAATATGTACCACTTTGGTGGGAAGGTAACAGCATCCCATGCACCTCGATCTATAGTCATGCTATTCACATCATCACAAATGTCTTTGGACAATGTTGACTCCTTCAGCTGAGAAACAGAGATGAGCACTGTCCCCTAGAGTCGGACATGACTGGGCAGGGAAAACCATTATCTTTACCTTTATGTCTATATACAAAAAGACAAAGGTTTAAGTTAAAAGTGTAAAGGTATCCTGGGAAGTATCACAAAGAGTGCCATTTTCTGTGGAGGCTCTCAAAATTCCAACAATGGTTTGGGAGAAAAAGTTTATTTGGATGCCAAATGAGGTAACTTTCTGTGAAAAGATGCAAAATAGTAAATCTTCAAACAAGTGAAATATGAGTAGCTGAATGCATTTGCTTGCCTATATCTTCATTGCTTTTATCTGCATGAAATTGTATTGAAAGTGTCCATGTTTTTATTATGTCCTTATTCTATTTGAAGAAGTATCTCTGTTGCACCTAACAATCTTCTTCTAAGCCCTTCACCAGATGTTCTTATCAAAGAGCAGGTAGCTCATTGATAAGAGAGCCTTTTCAATAGCACTGCGGATAGCCCTCCGCAAACAGCCTCCCTTGACACCTTCATTGTGATGAATACCTTGTTTTATTTTCCAAGGTTCTTTTTTGAATTACTGGTTATTTACTATTGTTCCTTTTACGTGCTGCCCTATTGTTAAAGTAAATGGATCTTATTTCTATTATACACTGTTTTTATTATGTTATACAGCATTGTTTCTGTTACCCAACATTCAGAGAAGTGTGGTTTGCAGGCATTCTATTACAGGCAATCCTCGACTTATTACAGCTTGTTTTAATGACCGTTTGAAGTTATAATAGCATGAAAAAAGTGACTTATGATCATTTTTTACATTTACAACCATTGCATCATCCTGATGATCATGGGGCACTTTATTTATTTATATTTATGACAGTTGCAATATACCACTTTTTGTGACCTTCTGACAAGCAAGGTCAATGGGAAAGCTAAATTCACTTAACAACTGTGCTAATAACTTAACAATTGCAGTGAATTACTTAATAACTGTGGCAAGGAAGGTTGTAAAATGGAGAAAAACTCAAATAACAAATGTCTCACTTAGCAACATAAATTTTAGATTCAGTTGTGGTCATAAGTTGAGGACTACCTGGAATGTAATAAATAAAGTAAATCTGATTTCTACCTATATTAAATGCTGTTAGCCATTCAGTACGGCAAGAAGATTGGCAGGTAGGATGTACATTTCCCCTTCTCTTCTCTCCTTCAGTATAGAGTAGAGTCAGAGGCAAGAATGTTACACTGATAACATTGTTTTGTCTTCAAAACAGCATTGATTTTTGGCAATTACATGCAGTTGTCTATGCAATTTTCTTGTCATGTTTTCAGAAATGTTTGCCCTTGCCTTCTTTCTAGGACTGAAAGAGAGAGTGATTGGCTGAGATTTACTAAACTGGCTTCCAGTTCAGTGCAGGATTTAGAATTTATAATCTCTGAACTTCTAGTCCATTGTATTTAAACACTACAGAAATTATCTTAAAGTTGTTTTTTCTGTACTAATCTGTCTAGATGCTTCGTACAGGTAGTTCTCAACTTACAACTACACAATGAAGCCCCAATTTTTTGTTGCTATGTGAGACATTTATTGGGTTTTGATCCATTTTATGATCTTTCTTGCCAAAATTGTTAAGCAAATCACTACAGTTGTTAAGTTAGTAACAGGTTGTTAAATGAATTTGACTTTCCCATTGACTTTGCTTGTCAGAAGGTCATGAAAGGTGCTCACATGACCTTGGGACACTGCAACCATCATAAAAATATGTTGAGACTCTAGAAAGAGTACAGAGAAGACCAACAAAGATGATTAGGGGACTGGAGGTTAAAACATATAAGGAATGGTTGCTGGAATTGGTATGTTTAATTTAATGAAGAGAAGGACGAGGGGTGACATGATAGTAGTCTTCCAATATCTCAGGGGCTACCCCAAAGAAGAGGGAGTCAAGCTATTCTCCAAAGCACCTGAAGGCAGGACAAGAAGCAACAGATGGAAACTAATCAAGGAGAGAAGCAACCTACAACTAAGGAGAAACTTCCTGAGAGTTAGAACAATTAATCAGTGGAACAACCTGTCTCTAGAAATATTGAATGCTCCAACACTGGAAGTTTTTAAGAAGAGACTAGACCACTATGTATCTGAAATGGCATAGGGTTTCCTGCCTGAGCAGGGGGTTGGACTAGAAGATCTCCAAGGTCCCTTCCAATTCTATTATTGTTGTTGTTACCAACTGTCTGAATTTTGAACATGTAACCATGGGAACATCACAACAGTCGTAAGTATGAAAAACAATCATAAGTCACTTTTTTCAATGGTGTAACTTCGAACAGTCACTAAACAATGTGCTGTAAATCGAGGATTACCTGTACATATGTACATATTCTCTTTAATGGGCCTTTGTTATCTTTACAAGAATAGATGATTCTTTTATGAAATAAATTAATAGTTTGAGATGGGATAGTGGGATATATTGGGTTATTATTTCCTGCAGTTTATCTGCACACTAAGCCTGGATGTATAATAATGTGCTAAATTGGATCAGGAGAATTGGGCAAAGAGAAATTGGATATTTCCCATCTTTTACTATTTTCCCAGTTGTAAGTATAAACACAAGTGTCTGTTCTAATAATTTTTAACTGCCAAGAAAGGGTAGCACAACTGCTTCCAAATTGTTAAGCAAAGAGCCCAGATTGTTGAATCCAGGAAAGTGGTGTCTTCCTCTAACTTTTAAATAATCCATATTTCCAAAACTGTTTAAAGAATAAGCTTTTTTCAACTATCACAAAAAACAAAGTAATGAAGATAAGTAAGTGTTGGGAAATACCCAGCCAGGTAAGGAGGAGGGATCAAGTGGGGAACTAGTCTTGAATCTTTGCACAGCCTGAAGAAGCACAAGCTTGACACACATATCCCATTTCCCCAAGTTCCATGAAACTTATCTGTTTGTACCCAAAGGAAGACAAGCAGTCTGGGGGGTATTCCTGTATTACAGGTAGAACACAGTAAAATAGTCAACTCGACCCTTTAACATATGGTTTTGATTGCTTGTGCCTAAAGTGAGTCAGGGAGAAAGAGGTTATAAAGGGGACAAAATACTCAGCTTTACAATCCCTTCAGTAAATATTTAGGCTAGTGTTAGCCTGGCATCTGTTCACTGATATCCAGAAATTTAAATTTGTCCTAATGGTGCAGATTGAAAAAGGTGTACAGATAATCCTCAAGTTACAACCATTTGTTTAGTGACCTTTTGAAGTTGCAGTGGTGCTGAACAAATGAGACTTACCCCTTGTCCCCCAAAGTGTGACCGTAGCAGTGCCCCTGTGGTCATGTAATTAAAATTCAGGCACTTGGCAGCCATCTACTCTTACAATCGTGGGGATGCTTCAACTCCACCTACCCACCCACCTATCTCCCTCAAATCTCTGCTCGTTGGGCCCCTGCATTCTGCAGCCCCTGCCACCCTGCACTTGTTTGCCCCCACTAGTCCTTTACTATCTACCTCCTATCTCTGTGGGCCAAGCACACCCAGCCTGGCCCTTTGCAAGGCAGCTAATGGTTGCAAGAGATGTTCTTCCTGAGATCATGTGTACCTATTTCTTCATGAGACTTGAGGAAGAAGGCCTCACATAGTTAGGAGCTGCTCTGAGAATGGCCAGGCTGGATACACCTTGTTAGTACAAGGATA